GGTCTCAGTGAAAAATGGATCAATCCGACTTCATTAGTTATGGTAAACACATAATAAATGATGTTACAAAATAAAATAGAGCTTTACGTTCTGATGTGGGGAAGCGTCTAGAGATCAATTAAAACATGTACTGAAAAGTCATGCTAAGTAAAAAATAACAAGTTCATAATACATGGCATCTGAATTTTATAAAAATGTACTTTTACTCATTAAGCATTTACACATACACTAGCTGGAGATACAGCAAAAGATGTTTACCGTAGTTTTTTTTATAGGATAGGTTTTTCTACTTTTATATATCTTTTTTTATTTTAAAGAGAAAAAACAAAAAATATGGAATTTTAAAACAAGATAACAAGAAATTTCTTTGTTATTATTTTGCATATTGTTTGCATAATATTTTGCATATTATTTTGCATATTGGTTATTATTTTGCATATTGTTATTTTCAAAGTACTTGCTCAGATTACAAGATATCGGCATGCAAAATTGATCAAACAATATAAGCACAAACCATTCCTTTCAATGAACTAGTAGGACTTAGTAGTATAATTATCTTAGCTATCTCGTATGTATACCTATATTTTTTCTTTTCCCTTCCTTCTTTTCTCCTTTCCCCATCCCAGTTGTTCTATTTTTATATCTCTTTTAATGTTAGACTTTTTTTACATCATGTTTGTATTACTTTTACAAGAAAAAATAATAAAGCTTTATATAAAGAAAAGAAAAAACAGAAAGTAAAACCCAGTTTTCCTGTCTCCCTCTCTTTGAAAACGCACAAGGTGACCCCTGCTGACAGGACCAAAGCAATGACAGAGCTGGAGAGCTGGGGTGGGACGGGGACAGGTAGCGCAGACCACACCAAGTACTACAGGTGCAGTCAGGAGACCAGAGTACCCTGGGCCATGGCCTCAGAAGACCAGGCTAGACAGACAGATGTTCTAGGAATAGCCAGCATCTGAGCTCAAAGTTCTGACCTTCCCAAACATTTATGTTTCCCTGAGCCTCAGTTTCCTTATTTACACAAGTCCCCAGAGGGTAGGGTGCCGGTGAGAAAGAAATCGTAATAGCGATGGGTATCTCCCTGCTCCGGAGAGTTTCACCCACGGCATCAGCACAGAAGAAACTCCAGGGAGTGGCAGCAGAAGCTACCAGACCATTTTATGGTAACAATCATGGGCAAAGCGCATCTTGGGCAGCCGCAAGAAGACTATTTTCAGCCTGAGAAGGCCCCATGGCCCTTCCAGAAACTTGACTACTTTGTTTATGACAACTTAGGTGGCCAAGGAGAGGGATCCTCAGCTCAGTCAAATGGCAGCAGCTTGAGGAAAGGGGATACTCATCTCTGGGGACTCTGGGGTGAGGTGGGAGGGGCTGGGGACAGAAACAAATTACCTGCCACCAGCAAACACGGCACACAGCTGTCACACCATGAGGTCCCATCTCTGTCAGACGCAAACACAGAGAGGAAAGGCTGGGACTCCGGCAGGGAGGAGGCAAGCTGCAATTCAGCCCAGCTGCTGCCAGAAGAGCCCCATGGAAGGGGCAGATGGTTTTTGTGCAGATTTTGTGGGAGTTGGGATATGTTTTGCAGTCTCAGCCCCTGAGCCCTGTGTCGCTTTGTTCTTCTGCTTACGAACAGGGGCCCTCAGAAGCAGCAACCGTTCTTTGCTCCACAAACAACAGTGATCTCACAGTGCGACTGGCTTTACTCAACGAAATGTTTCTGAAAGGATGGACTTGAATGGAATCAGGCAGAAAAGGCCCTGGCATAACTTGTGGAGGAAAAGCCGTCCAGGCCCTCATGGGATCTCTGAGGGGGTTTCACTGTCTTCATCAACGATTTCTTTTCTGTTCAAAGTTTCACAATAAGCATAAAGTTTGTAAACAAGAGAGACGCGTACTATTTAAGAGAAGCTCGGTGGTCCTTGTGGGAACCTAGCAAGTGTCCTTTGTTAGTAGGGTCATCACCCTTTGATGCATCTGCTTATCTTTGGAGGTCAGTTATTGTAGGCAGAAAAAAAGATCCATAATCTCTGAGTGACTCTCCTGCTCCTTAAAGAAGCCTTGTAAAGAGTTTTGCGGCAGTGAAGCAATCAGTTTTTCATTTCTCAGCCTGTCTTTACCTGTTGATATTTTTACATGTCAGGTTTTTCAAGACAGCAATATACCATACCTGTCTCCAATTCCATTAGCCAGAAATGGCCAACAGGGCACCAGAACTGGACAAATGGATGTGAATGAACAACAAGTCACTTGCAATGCAGGAACTGGCTGGGCCAGGCTTTGTCCTTGTCCCCCGGACGTGGAGAAGGCTCACAGAACCAACGACATGTCACAGAAGGGATACTGATAAATCCAGTCAAATGATGCTTCTCCCCTCCCAGGGAGGCTGTGGACAGTGCCACCAGACATCTGAGTTTGTCTTGGCAGATGGTGACACCATGCAGAAGAATATAGATGGACTCTTCGGCTTGCACCATGGTTGGCCAGATTCAGGGGAGTCCCTGCCACCCCCAGGTAGCCTCAGATCTTCTGGGGGAGCGAGAGGGTTTTATAAGGGGAAGCATGAAAGCGAAGAGGACCCTGAGGTCCTCGGAGGGGCAGCATGGCTCAGTGATGAAAGTGAAGCTTCCAGAGCCGGGCTGCATGGGGCAAACCCACACCATTCTCCGGCCCTGTGACCTTGGACAAGGCTCTGAGTTTCTCTATGCCTGTTTCCTGGGTACAGGAAGGGTAATAGTAGTGTCCACGTCATGAGGTTGCCTGGAGGATTAAAGGCACCAATATGATGCAAAATGCTCAGAACATGTTAGGCATCATGGAAATGTTAGTTGCTGCTGCCATTATCACCCTATCGTATCTGGGCTGTTCTGCTAGATCTCTGCGCAGAGAGCAAAACATTTTATACACTGTTTTATATAAACTTCCCACCTCCAGGCAAGAAGGATGAAGTTGTACTCAGAGCTTTTGAGTATTAAGGCCAATTATCACAGATCATCATTAACATGGACCATCAAATTGCTTGTGCTTGCCTGGCATGTACATAATTCAAAGTGCTTTCAGGGGGATCTTCAAACATCTAAGAGGAGCAGATACAACTCCAGGTACCGCTAGACAGACTGGTGCAAGGGAACCCTGATACTGAGGGTAAACCTCTCAGCGAGCAGACAGAGTCCGTCTTGGCCTGATGGTGTCCCCACCACCCTGCATAGCTAAAAGGCCTCAGCAAGACTCGTTGCTCAGGAGCAGCTGCCATCACTTCTTACATTTGGACAGTCCACAAATCAGCACCTGATCTGCACGAGGGCAAGGCTGGTCTGTGCTCCACACTGCGCCTCAAGCCCAACGTTTAGTGCTCGCTCCTGTCTGAATCAGAACCACCAAAGCCCGTATCCGATTTTCTAAGGCTTGAGGCAGGGTCAAGAAGTGATGACACAAATCAGGTGAAAAGTCACTTGTTTTTACCTCTTCAAGTCACTAGCTGGGGAGTTACTGTCCCCATGTAAAGAACAAAGCCTCAGAGAAGCAGAGTGACCTGCCTGCGGCTACACAGCTAGGGGACTCTCGGATAGGACTTGAGCCTAGGTCTCCTGACTCCAAGTTCCCAGGAAAGGGCCTCTGGCTCTACGGTCTGCAGTGGAGGGTGAGGATGGGGCCTAGCACAGGGCCCAGAGCTGTCCGGACCACGTCTCTCCCTACGCCATCCTGCGTTCTCAGTTGATCCTGCTGTCCTGCGCCCAGACTCCAGGACAGAGTCAAGGCACATGCTCTGGACCCCAGACTCCCTGTCACAGACAGTCTCCGCCATATTGGCCACTGTCCTCTCCCCTCAGGGCCTGGGGTGAGTGTCCCAGAGAAGAGCGTGGGCCCAGAGGTGTCTCTGTGGCCCACAGTGCTAAGGTCATGTAACCAGGGGTCTGTCCTCAAAGACAAAGAGCAGGCCTCACTAAAACCAGCCATGCCCCTCTGAGGCATGACCAAAGCTTCCACTAGCTAGGGCACGGCTCCATTTTCCTCCTCAAAACCTGGGCCTCTGCAGCTTCTCTCTCTCTCTCACTTCTCCAGCCCAGCATGCCAAATAAACAGGCAAGAAATGGACTCCTGGGCCCAGCCCTCTCCACTCCTTCCCTCCCCCAGGGCTGGGCCCAGAAGCTACACTTCATGGTTTGCTTCTCCCAGATTTCCACAGCCCGGAACCCAGGAGGGGCAGCGCAAGAAGGCCTCCTTGCACAGCAACGCACGCTGCATGCTGAAGAGAGAGAAATAAGCTGCAGCTGCAATCAGCGCAAACCAGAAACACACAGGTCCAGGCCGAAACACGCCCCAGGCGCCCTCTAGCAGCGCTCAGCCACGAGCGAGCGTCTCCTTCAGAGGCCTTTGCCTGACTGTCTCCCCCCGGCCTTCCTTGTGCCCATGAGGCTGCAAAGCAGGTAAACATTTGAAACTAAAGAGAGAAAAGGAGTTGTCACAACCAGTGGGAAAAGGAAACGTGAAGCTTTGGGGCTTTGGGGGACTAACGTACATGTTATTTGTAAAGAAGAACAGAACTGAAACCAGAGAACAGAAAGTATGAGTGCCAGCCAACCATTTCCCCAAGGGGCCAGCAAACAGCACCAGTCCACGCGCCTCACGGTCAAACACACTTTTGCTTTCTGGGCCAAGCTGCAGAATTACCCTCTCATAGGAAGTGGTCTACTTCCATAAAACATCGAAGATTCAATGTAAGAAGTAAGAGCTCCAACTTTTTTCTCCTAAACCAACGTTGAATGCTAGGAAGTCAGTGAGTGCCTTTGATTTTAAGTGATTACGCCAGCTTTTCAGCCACGTGTTTCAGTGCCATCTGGACTGGATAAAGCAACTCTTGACCTCTGTCGGGGGCCACTTGTCTGACTGCCACAAAGCCACATCTGCACGCTTCACCCCAGCCGAGACAGAGCAGGTCGACACAGGTGCTGCGGGGATGATAAGGACGGTGGAGAACATGCTTCTGTACTCACATTTGTCCCTGATGCGGCCGAGGGAAATGCAGGATTCGACGGAGCGAAGGACCTTGCTGGAATGGCTGCAAATGACATCCCAAGAGTTGAGGCATAATCTGAATCACAAATGACACAGCCAGGTGAGAACCCAATGACGAAAGATCATGATTAGGACGTACACGGGAAAGAAGAATTTCTTCTAACAAATTCAGCGGTGATTGGTGAGATTGCACCTCTGGGAAAGCTGCATGGCTAAGGTATCCTGAACACAGACGCGCCGGCCAACTCGGGCTGATATTTGGATCTGTTTGCTTTGTACATGCATAGGAAGGGCGGATTAGAGACACCCTGGTTCTTAAAGACAGGACAAAAGCAGCCTGTGGGCAGCTGATTTCTGCAGCAAGCCCCTGACCTTACCTTCATTCCCACCAGGGTTATAAACAGCTGTGTTGTTGGGGGAAGTACACAGGGTTCCCTCTGCCGAAGCAAGTACACACCGGATGCCAGCACTGGAGAGGGGTGAGAAGGGGGACCGGTTCCTCAGTAAGTTAAATGAAAAATTACCACGTGACTCAGAAATTCAGTCCCAGGCATAGACCCCACATAGATGAAAGCAGATACTCAAGCAAAAAACTTGCATATGACTGTTCAGAGCACGGTTATTCACAATGGCCCAAGGTAGAAGCAAACCAAATGCCCATCAGACAAGGAATGGATGAGTAGAATATACACACATTGTAGAACATGAGGTTTGTACGTGCCACCATGGGAGTGAGCCTTCAAAATTCTATGCTAAGTTTTGAAAGCCAGTCAGAGAAGCCCATATAATACAGGATTCCATTCACATGAAATGTTCAGAGGAGGCAGACTCAGAGAGGCAGGAAGCAGACGGTGGCTTCCGGGGCCCGAGGACGGTGGGAAGGGGAGGGACCACTTGACGGGTACGAGGCTTCCCTCGGGGACCAGGAAGGAGCTCTGGACTAGGCAGTGGTCGCATTTGCACAACTTCAGGAATGTGCTAAATTCCACTGAACTGTGAACTCTAAAAGGTTGAAAATGCTGAGTCTTATGTGAATTTCAGTACAGTGAAAAACAGAAGGAGTCAAAGAGGACTTTGTAAAATTGTTCATTAAGTTGTGGTGAAACATACATAACGTGAAATTTACCGTCTTACCCATGTCTAAGTGTATGGCTCAGTGGCGTTATGCACATCCACACTGTTGTGTAGCTGTCAGCGGCTTCCCTCTTCACAACTGTGCAGCCTGCAAAACTGAAACTCTGTTCCTCTTAAACACTGACCCTCCAGTCAGCCTCTCACAGCCTGACAAGCACTTTCTGTTTCTCTGGTTTGTCCTCTTTACCTCCTCTAAGTGGTAAATGTACAGCACTCATCCTTTTGTGATGGGCTTATTTCACTTAAGGGAATGTCCCTGAGGTTCAATCATTTTGTAGTATGTGTCAGAATTTCCTTCCTTTTCAAAGCTGTGTAATATTCCATGGCATGTTCATCCATTCACCTGTCTGTGGCTGTGTTGGTTGCTTTTTCCTTTGGACTACTATGAATAATAAGGGGAGGCACACATTTTGAATGCACACATCTCAAAACATTGAGCCCCAATTATCTGTTCGGTACCCTGGGGCCAGACAGTCTCTTCTCTACTTCCTTACTGGTCTGTGGGTTCTGCCCATGCCTCCGAGCAGCTCTATGCAGCACCAAAGCTGGGATCCTGGCCGGCACAACCTGAGCTTATTACTCCTCTGCTCGGTCCTCCAGCAGTTCCACTCACACAGCAAACCCGGAAGTCTTCCAACAACGAAGGGCTCTGGACTTGCGCCTTGCTACTCAGGGTCAGCATGCATGAGTGCATGCTCTTTCTCTTTCTTTCTCTCTCTCCTTTCCCACCTCTGCCCCAGCATTGCTTCTGCTTCACAGTTACCACCGGGAATATTATTACTTGCTCATTTAACATGTAATCCTTCTCCCTGTGTTATGCGTAAGTGCCTGGGACAGGGACTTCGCCTGTTCTCTGTGGTTCCCCTGCACCCAGCACAGAGCACAACCAACCTCAGATGCTCAGTGAGTGCTTAGAGCACTCGCATGGAGCTGCTCTCTTGACAGCACTTACTGTTCAGAGAAGACCAGGCATTTCTGAGCGTGCAGCTTCCCTTTCACGTGCAGCTCCCAGTCCTAGGGCAGAAGGAAGGAAAAAATGACCAAAGCAGAACTGAATCCACAGGGAGGCAGAGAGACAGGGAGCACAGAGTCCCGAGGCTGGACCAGTCACCTGGCGCTCTCCTTCCTCCCGTTCCTGCCTCCAGTCCAGCCCTTGCTCCACCCCGCCTCGTCCTCGCTTCCGGTGGCCATTTTGGATAGCAGCCCAGACTTGAAAGTCCCTCTCCTCCTCTCAGTGGACCCTTGGACCCACCGCCTACCTCTTCTGTCCTGCACAGAGACCTTACACATTTCTGAATCCAGTTGGGAGATCCCGACAGGCAGATTCGTGGGAATTATAAAGACTCAGAAAAGGCTTATGAAAGACAAAATCCCGGACTACCTTCCAGAATCAGCCAGTCTGCTCCCTGGAATGGAGGCAAGAGGGTGGGCCCCATGAGGTTTCAGGGATGCACCTGGAGGATGCAGCCTGGGCAGAGGTAAATGTCAAGCTGTAGTGGGTCTCCCTCTAAGAAGGGACTTTACCATGCTCTGGAGCTGGATAAGAGATGGGAAACAAGACGGCCCAGTACTAAAGACATGAAGGCTCAGATCCACATTTTTGTTTTTTGGCCTCTGCTTTTTTTTTTTTTTCAGTGTTAGGAATCAAATCCAGGGCCTTGTGAATGCCAGGCAAGCTCTATCCTCGAGCTGCACCTTACATCTGAATTCTGTATTTGAATCTCCATTCTGCATTGCCTAGGTAAGAGGCCCAAGGCAAGTAATTTCTCTACTCTGAGCCTCTGTTTTCTCATCTGCAAGATGAGGACAGTAGCAGTACTGCAGTTACTACCTAGAGTTACTACTGGCACACAGAAAGCAGTTAGTATACCAGCTAGACAATTATTGCTTTGGAATATTGTACTGTATCAAGAGTACATATTTTGCGGGGAATTATACTGTAATGGACTTTTGTTTGCAGCTGTCTGAAGTATTTTACTACCCCTGGGAAAGTATTGTGAGCCTCTCCACAGTACAGATGTAGCAGCTGAGGGCCTCTATAACAATTTGTCTAGGTCTCACCCAGAAATTGCTCTCTTGCTTCTGATCCCAAATTCCACTCTTTTCTTCCTTTCAAATTCAGTGCAACACATGTACTCAAGGAGTAGCAGCTCCCCCGGAGGGAAAGGCCTTCCCAAGGACGCAGGAGCCCAGTTCCTGAGCCCCCTCTCTGCAGAACAAGTGGGATTATTCCACCCTCCGCCCCTCAGCCTCATCTTTCCCATCTGTAAATGGGGAAAGGAATCTCCTACGTGCCTTAAAGGAAGGAACTGGCCACAACCAATTTCCAAAATCCCTCTGAGTTCTAATATCTATGATTTTAACAAGGGGGCCGAGGGCAATGTTCTGTTCCCAACCACCGAATGTCGGGTTTCCCCACCATGAGCACCAAGATTTTGGTAAGGCTCCAGATCTGTCTCGGATGACTCACCTTCAAGTCAAATACTTTCTTGTCGCACATGCTGCAAACATGCGGCAAGTGGAGGGGCGCCACGCCGTGGAAATCATTGAGCTCGTGAGCCTGCAGGGGCCGCATGGACAGCATCGCCTGCTCCTCCTTGGCCGGCCGCCGGGCACCGCTGAAACCCTGCTTGCTGTTGTTGAGCCGAGCCCCGAAGGAAGGGGGCGTCCTGTCTGCGGTGGGCTCCTCAGGGTCATACAGTTCATAGGGCTGGTTGGGGGGTGGAGGCCACAGGTTGGGGCCTGCTGTAAGATCGGCCTTGCTTTGGCCAGAGAATCCAGGAGGGCTCTCCCACTGGCTGTTTGCACCCTGCAGCAGCGGCCCTATCTCGTTTTTCATGCCCCCTACCTGCTCAGCTGGAAACCCTCCTGCCACATTTGACCCCTGCGCACTGGGCCCGTAGAAGTCTTTGGAAAAGGTAGCCCGACCATCTTGCCCTGCATGGCTGTAGTGCCCTTCATAGGTCACGCTGCCTGAGGCGGAGGCCGAGGCTGGCAGGAAGCCAGGCTGACCGTCTGTTTCGGAGCCATATGCCTGGCCTGTGTTGGCTTTGCCATACTCGTAGAATCCCGTGGTAGCCGGAGCAGGCCCAGCCTTGCCAATACCCAAGATGACTGCAGGCTGGGCTTGGCTCTGGGCCATCACCCCACCGAAAGGATGCATCACTATGGCGCTGGCAGGCTGGCTGGGGAGGCTCGCAGAGGGCCCTGGGCCTCTCGCTTGGCTGGGGGGTGAAAAGGCCATTGCATTCGAGGGGAACCGGGCACCGGCAATGGTCGCAGCGTGCTGGGGCACCGCGGCGTGGCCATGGGGGCCACTGAGCACAGACGGGTGTCTCAGCTGGTTGAAGAGAGGCTGGGACATGGCCACTTTGGAGAGGACTTGGTTCAGGACGGTGGCGGCTGCAGTGTTGTTGGTGACTGCTGTCTGTGCCAACTTCAGCCGGTGGAGGGTGAGCTGGGCCTGCAGCTGGGCCAACTGGAGACTGGCAGGTGAAGGGAGCAGAGGGTTCGGGTTGCAGACGGGGAACGGGGTCTTGTCCAGGAGCTTGGCGGCACTGCAGGGAGACAAGAGGTCTAGATGCGTGGCTGGCTTTCAATGGGGGAAACGAGGGGCTGCGTTTGCTGCTCTGTGTCCCCCTCCTCTCACATACATGAATAAGTCCCACATACAAGTGTGCTCATACACTAAAGAAAACCAAAGCTGCACCAGAAAAATGATCTGACAGAGTGTTTGATTTCCTCAGGAACTGGAATGTAAATTAAAATAGTTAGAAACCAATATTGGCCTAGCAAAATAACCGGTATTAAAAATAATAACTGCAATCAGTGTTGGAGAAGTTAAGTGGTGTAGACACAATGCCAGTGAGAGTATGAGCTCAGAGCTTTGGGAGGGGGCCTGGCGTTGTGCATTTGTTGCAGCCACGTCCCTTGACCTCATAATTCAATTCTCTTAATCTTTCCTGGGACAAAACTTGATTCCTGAAGATGTTTAATACTGAGTACTTACTTAAAAGTCCAAAGTTGAAAAGTACAAACATCCATTAATGGGGAGGGGGGGCTTGATCTGAGTAAATTATGACATAGCTACACGATGAAATATCAGGCAACCATGTCCTGTTCCTGTTTAAATTACTACTTTAATATGTAACATTAAAGACATTCAAAATGTGTACCCAGCACCAGGCCTACGATAGAAAACAGTCCAAAGTGCTAAATCCACCCCCCACCACAGTTGCCACTCTACCCAGCCCTTTCCCATTTTTACCAATGGCACTATCTTTTGTTATTGGGGTGGTTTTTGTTTATTTGCCTGTTTGTTTGCTTATAGTCGCAGCTGGCCTTGAATTTATCCTCAAGATCCTCCTGCCTCAGCCTCCCAAGTGCTGGAATCACAGGCATGTGCCACCATACCCAGGTAAATACTATCTTGAATTTGGTAAGGTCACTAGTTACAGAGGAAAAAAAATTTATATTGACTTATATTAATGACATAAGACAAATTTATATTAATGACATAAGACAAATTTATATTAATGACATAAGAAAATCCAGAGGCATCAATGCTAAGTGAAAAAAGCAAACTTCAAAATCGCATACAGAATGAATTGTATATATATTTATGCCAAACATATTTTCATCCTACCCTCATTTCACACCCAAGAATAACAACCTATTTCTTAAACACAACTAGTATAAAGAGTAAACCCATAAGTTACAAGTGAAAAACTCTGAACCTGAGGTACTAACAGGCAGTGGTCAGCTCTCACAGACCTGACTGGCAGATGGGAAGGGCCACTTCCTACCTGAAAAGGGCCATTCATGTGGCCTGTGAGGCTTGGTGACGGTGTCTGCTGGACTGAGTCATAGTCTGGAAGTGGGACAGACTTTCCCAGAAAGCCTGGGCTGTGTGGTTACCATAGTCGAGGTTCTCGAGTAAGACCACATTTTCTGGGTCTTCAGCTCCCCTTGTGGGAAGGGGGTGCAATCAAGAAATAGATGCGAGATTCTGACGAACTGGAACTCCAGGACATTTGAACGGGAAGAGTGGGACTGTGATGTTTGAAATTGGGACTGTCACGGACAATCAGCCTGCTTATAAAGGGGGTGGTCGTGGGAATGCAGAGCTGGGACACTTTTGTCTCCACTGTTTGTCTCCAGACGGTGCACAGTAAAAGTACAACAATAATGCAGCTGAAAAGAGAGAGGCCACGCAATCTCAGGTAGGAAAGAGAAGGATCTGAAGAGTGTGGTGGGGCACACATCTCTCACTGCGAAGACATGCATGTCACTCACACCTGCCCCACTCTGAGAACACTGCCAGGACAGAGCCACCCTTAAGTGTGTGCTTGGCACTGGAAGAGAACTTGGTAGAAGGGAGGAGGGGTGTGGGAGAGACTCCTCTCAGGTACTGCGAGCTACTGAACTACCATCTCATTAGATCTCTCCAGAGGTCCCACAGGGGAGATTGTTTTCATCTGTTCTGCAGGGCAGAAGCTACAGCTCAGGGGGATTATGTGACCACTTCATGAACACCCAGCGCTGCTGAGTACAGGCTTTGAAAAGTAGAGAAATACCAGGCAGCTTCCCATCCCCCTTGGAGTAGTACATCCTCCAGGGCTGTTTCCCTGTTTTGTTTGAAGTGAGTTCCCAGAACACCAGGCACACCCACACTCAAATATAAGTACAAAACACATTTCAGAGCCAGATAAAAATGACTTTGTTACTCTTTCCCATTTGTGCAAAGAAATAAAAAATGGGCTGTAAGTTGTTAAAGAGACCCCTGGCTAGCAGCCCTGCGGAGCTCCCTGGGGCAGAACAAACTGACTGCACTGTAACCTATCGGGGAAGGAGAGGACCACGTTTAAAGGTAGTCACAGACCTTTCCTCTGTGGAGGGGCGGGCAGGTGTGCCGCCAAGCTTTGGGGACGTCAGTGTGCGGCACAATCCAGGGCAGCAGCACACTGGGGAGAACTGTCTAGGTAGACAAGCATACAGAGGAGAAGGAGGACGGTCGAGTCTGATGATGGATTTTGACTTGTGCAGTATTAAGTAGCTGAGCTTCAGAAGAGCAACTAAGCTTAACTCAAAACCCTGCCCACACAGGGCCAGCCCTTCCTCCCAGGTCTGTCCACCACACAGACTGTCTTTACTAACAAGGCGATCATGAGGTGCCAATTTGGTTTCCATGGCCAGGGTAAGACAAGGTTGGTTTTGTTTTTCCCAGAGAAGTCAGCTGTATTTTCTAAACTTGCATTCCGGGCTGGAGGGAGTGCTTGCTGGAGACTCAACCCTTGGCCTGTGAGTGGTGTGAAGCCAGCATTCTGAGTATTTGTAGGTTGGCCATGGGAAGCAAGTGTTTTTCAGAAGATGGCCCGTTTACCCACGCCGACCCAGCCTGAAATAAGAGCACTAGCCATATTCTCTTGTGTACCTCTCATTTGCCTACACGGTTCTTCTTTGGGGGTGGAGGGGTTTCATGGTACTGGGATCGAACCCAGGGCCTTCTCACTGGGCTACACCCCCAGACATTTTTTATATTTTATTTTGAGATAGGGTCTCACTAAATCACTAAGTTGCCCGGGCTGAATTCAAAGTTGCAACTCTCCTGCCTCAGCCTCTCAAAGTCCTAGAATTACCGGTGTCTGCCACCATGTCCAGCTCATCTGGGAAGTTCTTCTGGTTTCCAACTTTATTCAACCATAAGAAGTGGACTTCACATAAATCCTCAGAGCTAAATACCTCTCTTGAACCTAAATCTTAGATAATGGGGAAAAGATATCTCATCTTATTTTTAAAAATCTAAAAGCCTTAGTCTGCAAGAGTAAATAACCTAAAATTTAGAAGCATACGGTGATCATACAGTACATCTTCATGAGCTGTTTCCCTGTTTTGTTTGAAGTGAGTTCCCAGAACACCAGGCACACCCACACTCAAATACAAGTACAAAACACATTTCAGAGCCAGATAAAAATGACGTTGGTGCTACCCTTTCCTAACTGTGCGAAAAATCAAGTTCCAAAAAAGAAGGGACTCTGTCTTGGGGACACTTGCCTCCACCTGCACACTGCCTTGCCCTTGGTGGAATGCTCATACCCTCTGTGAAGAGAAGGAAGAAGGAAGCTGATGGGATGGCTTATCAGAATCTGGGAATCTGAGATGATATAGACACCTTCTTTGCGAGTACACATTTCCATGGAGGATAAAGACCCTGGAACAGTTCACAAAGGAGCACCTAAATACATCCAGAGAATGAATGGATTCTGCTGTTATGTAGCTAAACATACAAGCAGGTACACATCTGCCCACCTAGCGTACTATTCCAATGTGTCACTCCAACACAGGCATTTCAATATGCCCTTCTTCCTAAGCCCAGCCTTTGAAATTGCATGGATAATTGAATAATGCTCTATGAAGGATGTTCATGTTCTAAGCCAAAGAGCCTGGGAGTGTTACCTTACATGATAAAAAGGACTCTGTAGCTGTAATTAAATTGAGGCTCTTGAGATGGGAGATTATCCTAAAATTATCCATGTATGCCTTGTGTAATCACAAGGGTCTTCTATGGTGAAGGCAGAGACAATGGATTTGGGCAGAGGCAGAGGCAGAGGCAGAGGGCAGAAGGAACAGAGCAGAGGGCAGAGGGCAGAGGGGAGAGGGCAGAGAAGATGTGATGCTGCTGGTTTTGAAGGTGGAAGAACGGGCTGGGTGCCAAGGAAATATAGGCAGCCTCCAGAAATGAGAAAAAGCAAGGGAACAGAGTCTCCTCTGGAGCTTCCAGAAAAAAACTTATCCTGCTCGCACCTTGGCTTGAAGCCTGATTTTGGACTTCTGACTTCTAGAATTGTAAGAGAATAATTTCTGTTATAAGCTACTAAGCTTGTGGTTATTTGTTATGACAGCAATAGGAAACTAATTCAATCCCCATCACTTAGTCACTTAGATACCAAAGAAGCTTCCACTCAGGCAGTGGTAGGAGAACTGGTTGACTGGATTTTGTGATCCCCACAGGGGTCCACACGGACACAGAACACCTCAGTGGCTATCTAAAAACTCTCTGGGATCTTAGCCAGGGGCCAATTCAACACAAGCAAAAACCCAGAAGTCTCTTCATTTTCTTTCTTTTTTTTTTTTTTGTCTTCTCAAGACAGGGTCTCACTACATAGTTCAGGCTGACCTTGAACTCACTTTGTAGTGCAGGCTGGCCTCAAATTTACAGCAATCCTCCTGCCTCAGCCTCCTGAGGGTTGAGATTACAAGTGTGTGCCACCATGCCTGGAAGTCTTCATTTTTAAAGTCAGCTTCCTTGACCCAGTGGGAGCAGTAACAACAAGGAAAACCCTAGAACTGCAGACCAGACCCTTAGGATCAACACATCTAACCCCTTCATTAACCCAGACAGAAACTGACTTGTGCCAAGTTCCAGAGCACCTGTCGTCCAACACCTTCCAGTACCCAAGAAAATAACCTTGACTCTCAAAAGCCTAAAAGCCTAACTAAGCCCACTACTATCTAACTGATCACTAAATGATAATGGCCACCCATACTGATTTGGGAT